GAGTAGGGTATTTCTGATTTACTCTTTTTTGCAATATCAAGTCCTTTTTCTAGTATTTTCTGCCATGCCAGAAGTTCCAAAAAAATCGGTGTGATTGCTGCTATCCATTGGTTCCCATCAATCCAAAAGGTCCATTCACTCAATGAGGATTGGATTTTGTGGGACCATTTCCACAAGTGCAAAACCACCATCTTCATATCATCGCAGCCACAGATTATTGCACGAAGTGGTCTCAGTGATCTCTGCCAATCAAAAAGCCATAATGAAATTCATCTATGACTTATGTTGTAACTTTGGAGTGCCTTGCATCATTGTCTCTACAGTTCATGGGGAATATTTTTGAGAAGCTTAGCATCAAACACATACATATTATCCATAATGCAATGGCCAAGTAAAGTCTACCAACAAGGTTCTCAAAGCCATGCTCTAGAGTATGGTTGGTGAGAATCCTCACTTGTAGCCATTTCATCTCCGAGCACTATAGCATTTTAGAACCACATACTGATCAACATTGAGCACCTACCAATCTCTCTCTTGACTACTATGGTTGATCCAAGGACAGCTCCTCTTGCAAAGGCAGCATTGGCATTTGCCAAGATGCTGCTGTGATGAACTAGCTCTATTAGAGGCATATGGCACTTTGTGTTGCAAAGCAATGTGAGACAAAGTTTGGCTCTTCCTTAAAGAACATCATTGTGGCAAGTTGGAGGCACTATGGATTGGACCATTCTGCCATGGGTGAAAACTCCTATTAGACCATGGTGGGTGAGCTATTTCCAAACCTCAAGGAATGGCTTGCACTTGAGGCATGACTACTTTTGATGCCTCTTTTTGGTGCTTTTTGCTCTACTAATATTGTTGTGTTAAGCTTAGGCAAAAATTTTAATGGAACCCTAGCACTGTGTTGTCACCCTTGTGTCCACTGATAACTAGACCAGGTACTAGAATTGGCATGTTTCCTATTCTTGCTTATTCATCTTGTACATGGCTCTTTGAGAAATATTTCATCCATGAGTAGCTTCAAGTGCTTTTGGAATTTCTTGCTCACACCCAGTCCTTATAATGGATAAATGATACTTGCAAAGTGATATCAAATGATTAGAATTTTCTAGCATACATTTAGAAATTTCACATCATCTAGAACTGCTCTGCAGTATAGAAAACAAAGTGATTGCTGCCATACCACAAAAAAACACAATGATACAAAATTGCAAAGTGATTTTCTAGAATGAAGCTGCCAAAGAATAAGTTTACTCTCAGGTCATGGCTTGTTTATGACTTTGTATTTGTTTTGGAGTTTCGGATGGTGCATGTTTGATCCACTCTTTGTGGTCATCTTGTTATCTTTAGACATATTCTGGTTTGTGGCATTAGGATGGCCCAGTGGAGAGTGCCCTTGATCCATGTTTGATACATAGACCAGTGCAAAATAGGTAAGGACAGGATGGCTCAGCATCTTAGTATAAGGCCTTCAGATCCTCAAGGATCTTGTCTTGCATCTTTTACTGAGCTAACTCGGTCAAAGCTTCACTAAGAGAGTCTAAGCTGGCATAATGACATTGGGAGTAGCCGTCATGCTAACATGTCTTACTCAACCTTCTCGGTTGGCAAATAACATACTTCTGCTTTGCACCTTACACTGGAACGCAAGCTTCAAACCTTGGATGAAAGGCTTTTAGCATAGCTTATGACCAATAATTATATCCAGGAATATGCCTAGCATCAATGGTCAAAACTGAGGATCAAGATTACACAATGTAATGGGGCTTTAGCTTTTCACATCGTTTGTTCCACAATGGAAGGGCACAGGCGGGAGTAATACTGTGTATTCTTGACTCCAGACTGCTGATGACTGGTATGGCTGGTATGGTATTGGTTTTGTTTGTGGGCTTGTAATTGCCATCTTTGCAGTGGAGTCACAAGACAAGAACCATGTATATCATGATCTATTTTCAAGGCTGGTTCATTACTCCAAATTCTAAATGCTTATTATGATGGTCTAGTCGACAAATCATGCCCAAAACTATCCAACGTTGCCTAACTCCAAACATGGTCTTGTTGTGAAACTTTGAATGGTATAAACTCAGAATAATCTTACTAGTTGAAGAGTGATATTGAACCTTGAACGTAAAGAACTTGTGTTCTTATTGAGGTCTCTCCTTTAACTTCCTTTTGGAAGGTACCAGTTAAACTGTGAAAATCAGATGTTTGTATGTACACATCAAATGTCGCAGTTAACTCCGTTCAGCCAAGCACAATATTTCCCAGAGGCAGGTGGTCGATTCTGATTGAGGTCTTTCATGCATGCTGCGGATTTGTTGGGCATGGTCACATGCTCAAGGCCCAGATTTCTTGATGGCATATGACCATTTGTTGGGGCGGGCGGGCGAGGGAAGAGCAGCGATAAATCTTCTCTCGCTTGCACAACACGTATGCGGACTACTCTCTATTTTCGTATATATATGAATGCGAATCCAGCGGCCCTGAAAACCAGGGTGCGTACGTTTTAATGGGGCTGCGTGGCCTCATGTCAAAGGCGGTCGTCGTGGGCGGCCCCGATACGGTAGCCGGGTAGCGTAAACGAGAGCTGGCGGGCTCGAAGAAACAAATAACCTCTCTATCAGAGCCAGGAAGAAAATATCCCGCGGTTCGTGGTCTCTGAGTATAAGAAAGGGAAGAAAATCTCTTATACTGTACAGCGCTCCCTTGGTTTCTCTGGTTCCTTCTCTTTCGATTTGTTTTGCTCGGTCATGCCTCGCTCTAATCCTGTTCGATCGTCCAGGGCAGCACGGCCACCGCAACCCAGTCGCCGCCGCCCGCCGGCCCGTATGCATCGTGCCTCCTCGTGGAATGAACTACTGGCAGTGGAGGTACTTGCGAGGGGATTCCAGCTTGCTCCAGGAGATTTCACGGCCCCGGATCAAGATCCCAACATCAAGGACACGCGTTCGGCGCCCAAGGATAGATCTCCATCGCCGTCACCCCCTCTTCCAGCTCTCTCTACACCTGATCTGGCAGCTATCGATAATCATGATCTAGCAGCTCCTTCTCTTGATGATGGTGCTGATCCTGCAGCCACATTGACAATGTCCCCGGTGGCTTCAGCAGCGTCCCGGGCGCCAAGAAGAAAGCAACGTCGTCTAGCGATGGATTCGCAAAGCTCTGGTATCCCTTCATCATCGGCTACTGTATTCAAAAATCAAGATGAGAGCTCGAGTGCTTCAAGCGATGGTGTGCCGGGTGGTGACGATCATCCAATGACCGAGGAGAAGCCCACCTCCATTGCCACACGGGCCGCAGCTTTGAAGACCAAGCGACCTCCAAGTGGCTGCTCGAGCTCTAAGGTCAAACGGTCCAATTGTGTGAAGAAGAAGAAGACGGTTTCCAAGCAAGAAGAAACGAGCAGGAAGAGGAAGCCACCAACGTGCGCGAGGAGATATGCTAAAAAGACGTCCCGCTACGTTGGAGTCTCGTACTACAAGCGAATCAAACGGTGGGAGACGCACATTTGGTGAGTATGTTATTCTTTTCCTTCTTTTCTTCAAAAGGAAGCAACCACGCTGATTTTTCTTGAAGGGGTACAAGGAAAAGCAAGCAGATATACGTCGGTTCATGCAGTAACGAGGAAGCTGGAGCCAGGTTTTCATCTTCTTTTTTCTTTTCTTTGTGGCGCTTATGAAGTTCAAGATGTTAATCACAGGATCTATGACCGAGCTTACATCAAGTTCCGTGACAAAAGCTGCCCAAACTTTCCCTACTCGGACTACGTGCACGAGATACCCCAGGCATGATCATATTAACATTTCTACCGAAAGTTTGGAAAGATCTAACGCTTAGATTTTCTCTGCAGTGGATCAATCTGCCTGACAAGGACTTCATCAACATGCTACGTAACATGAGTCGTGGCGAGTCGTTGGTCTGGTTTGCACCGGAGCTGCTTGAAAGTGGCGCTGGATCTCCATTCACGAGGGAGACTCGGCCTCGAGCATCAAAATATCGCGGAGTCTATCTTCTCAAAGGTCGAAAAGTCCCTTGGACGGCTTCCATAACGTAAGTAGCCTCATCCCTCTAAACCTCTTTCTTTTCTTTGAGACACCATCTAGCTATCTGGATGTGAAACACAACGATGCTTTGTGTGAAACATGACCAACACCCAAGCTTTCGGCCATCACCATTCTAACATTATGGTTTTCATCTTTGATGCAGGCTGGACTCTCGTGCAATTCGACTGGGTGAGTTTTCCAAGAGCTGATTTCTTTTTTTATTGTTTGTGTTGTTTTTTTTTTTGCATATCCAGGGTCATATGAGACACAAGAGGAGGCAGCAAGGTTCAAGAAAAACTAAAACCTCAATCGCTAATTACTAAATATAACACGTTGTTTTGACAGGAACTATGACCGAGCAGCTATTAGATTCTTTGGCAAGGCTAAAGCACTCAACTTCGCATATGAAGACTACACTCATGAGATGCCACAGGTAATTTTGTTTTCATGTCCTGATTGTAAAACTAAGACGATATTACAGTGGATCACTTTGAGCAAGGAAGAGTTCATTTACTACATACGGAATTCTGCACAGTCGAGCAAGAAAAGGAAGTTCAAAGTACATACAGCTCAAAGAGCTGTATACGATAGGAAGGCCAAACAAAAGGGGATTGATGTTTGTGAGGTAAACGAAGCAATCCCACACTATATAGATGAGAAGGGGATAGGTGTGGTAAACGAAGACACAATATAGATCTTGCGCTTGAGGAAGCACCAACCATATCAGAATCGCATTCAAAGGGAGGAAAAGAGAAAGAGCATCGTTTCCTGGAGAGATTTTATATCCGCGTGGACTTCAATGCTTTGCCCGGGTTGGGCATCTGGACAGCATATGCATATTAAAACGTTTAGAAGCGAGATACAAGCTCTTGGGCATCAGTTCTTTAGATGCTTGCTCGAAGCGGCTGCCACAGGCTCCCTCCTGACGAACCGAGCGACTAGATCATGAGGCTCGAATCACTCCCCGGGAGCCGGCACCGTATTCCCTGCTTGCAAACATGCTTTTGATGACATACACAAATCCCAAACCGCGATCTTGTGTTCGTCCATCAACTTCTCGGCCTCATCACTCATTCCCGCGGCCGAGATGATGCTGGACAGCAAAGCTAATGCCGGAGGATTGCTGGGACTGAGGTCTAGGATCGGCAGCTCGTGGGGATTGTTGTGATTCGAGCACGCACTGAGCAGCGTCCTCCACGACACCGAGTCCGGCTGGAACGGCATACTTCTTAGCAAATTCTCGGCCTCTTCGAGCCTCCCAGCTCGGCTGAGCATATCCGAGATGACCACATAGTGCTCGAAAGTTGGCCGCTCGCCAAAGGCGAGCGCCATAACATCGGTGGAGATGCCGTCCAGCAGCATGGAACTGAAGGGAGAGGTAGAGTGCTTACTTATGCCCGTGCTGGGCATACGAGGAGATCATTGCAGTCCAGATGATGACGTCTCGCTCCCGCATTTGTATAAACACCAACGTGGTGGAGAACTTGCCAGGCAAAACAATCCACGCACACAGGCTTCGATGGCTCAGGCTTCGATGGCTCCCTGCTGCTCGACTCGGCACTCATCAACATGTATGGCTGCGCAAGAGCTTTCGCGGTGCTAGGACACGGCATTCCGGAAGCTCCACGGGCCTGTATCCCTCGAGCAGCATCGCCAAGTAGATCTAGCACCTTCTTGTGACCCATTGAGGGCATCATCGTATTCCACGACACCCATCTCTCAACGAGCTTTGAGTCGAGAACCTTCCAGGCTGCCGCATTTTCCATACATGGTTGGTCACCACAGTCTCCGCGTCCACGGGCCGGTGGCGAGATCGCACAGCGAAGAAGACGCCTCGACGGAGGCTCGCTCATCATCCTGAAAAAGAACCGTAGGGCCGCATCGCACTCGCCATTCTCGACGCAGGCGTTGATGAGCACCCGCCATCTCCAGGACGTCGCGATCTGGATTCCGCATATTCCAGATGTTTATGATTTATGATTTCTTGGGATATTCGGATTCTGCACATGACCATGTTGAGTTTCTGATCGGATTGAACACCGGCCTCGCTCCATCGACTCGCCGTAGACTTCGATGAGGGAGATTTGGAATTCTTCACGGTCAGGAAAGGTTTGCAAAATCTGAAGTACTTGCGAATTTTCCAACAGACAAGAGAAGGGAGCAAAGCTATGGTCTTTTTCCATTTCTCTTGTACACTCTATTTTCTCCTTTCAAAGAGTTGTTTATAATAGGAAGGTGGTAAACAAAGGAACGGCAGATGTATATACATTTAGTGACGCTGCTCAAAGATCGGTGCGTGCTCAAAGAATACAAGATCGAAGTCATCTATGTGATCGAGAGCGCGTTTGCGAGCAGGGAATACGGTGAAGACTCCCCAGGGTGTGATTCGATCGCAAGGGAGGAAACGCGAGCTTCGTGGTCTTCACGCTGGCTTCGAAACGAGTTCATGAGAGAGGCCCAGACTTCCACACCCGGAACGAAAGGCATGTTGGTGACAAGATCTCGAGCCCCTCCAATGTAGCCCGAGCGTCCCAGGAGATCGATCATGCATCCATACTGCTGGTTCGTGGGGACAAATCCGTAATCCAGAATTATGGAGCAGAAGTAGTAGCAGCCAGCCTCTACATTCCCGGCATGGCTGCAAGCAATCAGCACAGAAACAAAGCTCGGTTCGGCAGGAGTAAGTCCCTCCTGCTGCATTGTCTCGTATAGGTTTTGGGCTCTTTCATGATAGCCGTTACGAGCATGCATCGAAAGAACTGATGCCCAAGAGCTTGCATCTCGCTCTGGCATCGTCACAAAAGTTTTCATGGCTGAAAACACATGCCCAGTTTGGGCGTATGCTGCAAGCATGGTGTTCCAAGAAACGTGTGTACGAGAAAACCCACAATAGAATAGTTCTTCGGCCTCTCTAACACGCCCGTTATTTGAGTACGCTTCCAGCATTGCATTGAACGTAGCGGAATCTCGGTTCTCACGCAAAAGATCAAAGACAATCTTAGCCTTCTGCAGATGCCCAATGGTGGCATATGCTGCAAGCATTGAAGTCCACGCCATAGAATCTCTCCTAGGCATAGAATCGAAAAGCTCTCGAGCTTTGCACAAATTTTCGTGGCGTATATATACATCAAGTATTGCCCCCCAGGAAACTATGTCTCTCTCTGGCATGGAATCGAATAGCTCCTTTGCCTCCCCCGCCAAATTCCGTTCCAGTGACGAAGATGAAGCATAGGCAGACACCATCGCATTCCAGGAAACAAGATTCCAGGCAGCCATCTCAAAATAAAAAAGATCTCTCGCAAATTCGATGTGGCCGGCAAGAGCAGCCCATGAAAGCATTGCAGTCCACGACACAAGATCATATGCCGGCATCAAGCGATAGAGCTCCATGGCTGATTTGAGATCGCCGCCACTCGCAAATGCGTTGATCATCGAGGTCCATGACACCATATCCTTGGCAGGCATCCAATCAAACAGCCCCTTTGCTTCGTTGATCCACCGGCGATCTACACTTAGCTGTGAAGAAGCAGATCTCGGGTTTCCGTAAGCCGAGAGCATGGAGTTCCATGAGACGAGGTTGTGACCTGGCATTCGATTGAAGATCTCGCGAGCTTGGTCAACATGCCCCGACCGGGCATACGCCGCAAGCATCGTCGTCCAGGAGATCACATTTTTGTTCGGGAAGCGATCAAAGAAATCAGAGGCAAAGGCAAGGTTTCCTACTTGTATGGCTGCCGCCAGTATCGTGTTCCACTGCGCCAGATCCCAGTCCGGCATTGCATCAAACACGGCAATGGCCAGATCAAAATGCCCGTTACGGGCATACGCCCCCAGCAGCAGATTCCACGAGAAGGCGTCCTTGAGCACGATCGAATCGAAGGCGGCACGGGCGCCCTCCACGCTGCCGTGCTTCCCATACATGTGAACGAAGAGATTCACAACAAAGGTCTCGTCCTTTGCAGGAATTCTCTTTTGTAGCTGCTGCTCAAGGAAACTTTGGTGAATCTTCTCCACTTCGCAGAGAGCCTGGCACGATCGAATGAGCTCACTCCATTGCATAATTCCAAGCGGATATTCTACATGCAATTGCTCGCCAAAAGGTGAAGGGACGGATTAACAACTTTAATTTTGTTTGGCTCAAGGAAGTTTAAACCCACAAAGTCTAGTGGAAGCACTGAATAACTAGTATTTCAGTCACAGCATTTAAATTTCTTCTACACAATGCTTGGGAGGATTGTTGGAAGTACCACTTCTTCTACATTTTCAGCTGATATAGACCTAGTTTGACTGAAATTTAACTGCTTCATTAGCAGCTCAGACCATTGTGCCATGAACTTATAGCAATATTCTCTTTTTAAAAAAATTTAATGATATTTTCAAGTATGTTTCACAAATTGTCTAGCAAAGCTAGTCAGACACCGTCCCTCCCATGCTTGACGTTGCCAGCAAATGCAGCCCCTTAGGCACAACGAGTTAAGCATTCATCCAAGTGACGTGCTTCACTGGGGTGTCACTAGGATCAACTTGGGCATCTGGTGCGAGGACCAAATCCCTCACCCCAGGATTCCCGGTTGTTTCCGATCGCCCGTCTCAAATCCCTGTGCGGGAACAAGCATCCTATGACACCCAGAGCGGCATCCTGACCGTGGCCAGGGACTTCGAGGACTAGAGCACCCTCGTCGTCAGGGATTTTCCCACCTCCAGGCCCGCTCGACAGAGAACGTCGCCAGCAGCAGCGATCCATCAAGCAATGCCCCCGTCACAATGTGACACTGCGCTTGGTCGCGAATGAAGCTCCAAACGACGCCATCCGAGCACCACACCACAAGATTGTAATCCCAGGGAGGGGACGAAGAACCAGTGGCGATGAGGCGGACCCTGGCATGTCCCCAGAGCTCAGGTAGACGAAGAGCCTCCTGGAAGAGGTGCTTGTTGAGACACGGCGCACAGCAAGTCCTTCTCCACGTCCTCGAAATGTCCTGGATGCGGAGAAGAGCCAGGCGCTGTTCCTGCTCCGGAAGCCGAGAAAGGCAATGAGCTTAAGAAAGAGGCTGCTATCCCCAAGAAGAAAAACAAAATAATATAATTTTCACCCACAATTTCACCACACCGAACCAGCATCTTCAACGAGACAAGCTTATTAAAGCTAGAATCATAAGTATTCTTGATTTTGCCTTGGTGCGAAAGCAACCCATCTATCGAAAAAACAACGGCCACGCTCTTCTGACAAGATTCCCAGTGGAGATTCTACCACAAGCTGACGCTGTAACTAATTATCTTTGCCACTTACTAAGTGCTCAATAGGTGTCGTTGTCTACGCATGGATCATCCTCATGCGTCCAGGATGGTAGCCATCTTCCCAGTTCTTCATTACGAACAATCCACTCCTCTTTCTCTACATCCATAGTCTATCTGTCCCACTGGTGCCCATAGTCACCAATTTGACTGTGACTCTCCCATTTCTGAGTTCATGAGTCATAGACAAAGGTAGCCTGGATCAAAAGCCTGAAACATTTTGAATTCCTTACCCATGGATTGAGCAACACTGCCCAGTAGAATGTTGGAGCGGGTGCCAGGGAAGCCACACTGAAGGCACCTCATTGGCCAAGAACCTTTACACAACCCCACCCCCCAAAGGCCACGAGCACTCACACATGGGACACTGCTCAAAGAGTTTCACATTTGAATCACTGATCAAGTAACACTTTGATAGATGCTACACGTGCTTGCTACTAAAGTAGTGGGCACAAGAAGCCCACAGGGTGAGGCACATAAAAGAAGCCATTGAATTCTAATGATGGGACTTTGGTAAGTGAGCCAACTCTTGTTTGCATGAGAAGCTGAGTTAAGCACTACCTGAGAACCTCCATTTCCATCCATCATCAAGTAAAAAAGTTCCTCATGTTTTTGAGATAACACAAGTCCAAGTCTCATCTTGAGTGTGAGTTAAGAGCCCAAGTCCCTTTTAGCTATTTGTCCAAGTCTGATTTTGACCTCAATTGTGAGTAAGAGCCCAAGTCCGAGCACAAGGCTGAGTAAAAGTTCAAGTTTGTGTTCAAGCCCAACTTCAAGCCTAAGTTTGACCAGCTGAGCCAAAATTCCAACAAGGAGTGAGGTTTGACTTTAGCTGCCAACACTTCATCCTTGAGTTTATAGCTTACCACATTTTAGTAATCAAGTGCTTTGGACTTTCACCACGTGTCCACGTCAGAACTTGAACCCAAGTTCGAAATAAAGCCCAACCCCAAATCCAACATGGTGCATAAAAGGTGAAGCCTAAGAGCCCATGCATGAGCTGGAACTCCAGTAGCATTTTCAAGCGCTGCAAAGTCCACATCCCACATGAATGATGGATGGCAGAGTCAGAATCTGCAATAGTAATTTTGATTAGCAAAGTTGCCAATATCAATTGTTTTTCGGGCAGTGCCAGTGCCAGTAGAATCGCATCTAGCGTGTTGAGTCCAATCAATCAGCGCAGCTAGAGGGGTGTGCAAGCGCTGGAGAAGCAAGCTCTGCGACTCATTCTTCAAAGACTGGATCCTCATGGGCAGCGATGACCTTCATCTAAGGTTTTTCTAAGAATATTCTTGCAAATAAAGTTCCCCTGGTAAACAAAGTGTGACATGATCGTCAGAGTCCTTGTTTGCTGTTGAGTAAAATTCCAATGAGTTGGTTGTTGGTGACAACCAAGAAACTTTAAAAGCTCCAGTAGCTTCATTGTCAACGACTACTACCTTCGCCTATGAAAACGCATTAATCTTTGGAAAAGAAAAGCTCGAATAGAGCTGCAACTTTTGCAACTTGTTTCTCCATCGCCACTGCTGCAATTGTGCTTCTCATACATTTGGACGAAGAGATTCACAACAAAGGTCTCGTCCTTTGCCGGAGTTAACTTTTCTCGCTGCTGCTCCTGCTGCTACTCGAGCAAACTTTGAGGAATCCTCTCCACGAACCTGGCACGACCGGATGAGCTCAGTCCACAGCCTATTTCCGAGCGGATATTTCCAAAACGGATTTTGTTCCGCACGATAATTCGCTCTCTGTTGCTCGAAAGAAATTGTATCTGTGAGTGGGAATCGAATCGTGATGAGTTTTCAGTGGTTTAAAAGAGATATTTGGTCTTACCTCGGAAGTCATGGCTGCCACGAGCTTGTTTCGCGCAGCAACTACTCTCGACGCCACCTTGATGATTCTTGGAACCATTGCTGCTGCCGCTAATGGCCTCGCGTTGCCGGCCATTCTCATTGTCGCAAGCCTTGTTTACGACCAATACGGGCGATCAGAATCATCACCTATGAAAACGCATCCCAAGGAATTCGTAAGTTTAATCTTTCCTTAAGACAAAGCTCGAATACTGACCACGCTAGAGCTGGATCTTTGGCAACAGGCTCAGAGGTATCTCTCCATCGCCACTGCCGCAATGCTTGCTGCGTATGTCAGTGAGTTTCTCAGTATCGTATACTTTAAAGGCGATCAATCGACCTGAGTTTTTGGCAGATGTGAGCTGCTGGAGTTGCACTGCCGACCGGCAAGTTCGAAAGCTTCGACTGATGTATATGAGCTCGCTACTGAGCCAAAGCGTTGGCGATGTTGACAACTCTACTGCGAACGTGATAGACAACGTTACCAGCAATCTGGTGTTAGTCCAAAAAGCAATCGGAGAGAAGGTAACATCTCTACGCTTTTCTCTTCTTCACGAAATTGTTGCAGATCGGGAACATTATCTACAGCGTTGCATTTTTTCTTGGAGGCTACCTGGTAGCAGTAGTGTTGATATGGAGGATTTCTCTACTTCTGCTGCCTTGCACGCCGCTGCTCATATTACCGAGTGTTCTCTATGCAAGGATTGTGCGAAAGTGCGCCCAGAAGAGATTATCTTCCCAGAAAGAAGGTGGAACAATAGTCAAGCAGGCAATCTCCAACATAAGAGTGGCGTACGCTTTTACCAGCGAGAAGAGAACACTGCAGCTGTATTCCAGCTCTCTGGAGAAAGTGGCCGAGATCGAGAGAGTAGAAAGCCTGGCAAAAGGAGTGACTGTAGGCCTCAACGGCATCTCGTTGATGATCTGGGCTCTTTTGATGTGGTACGGGAGCAAGCTGGTTGCTGAAAACCATGGCACTGGAGCTCAAATCCTTGTTGTCGGGGTTGGTTTTATGATCTCCTCCGCGTAAGTTTTGACGTCTATTCTCTCCCATGATGTTCGCGTTGAGCGTGATGCAGGCAGCTTCAAACTGCAATAAGCGACAGCAAAGGACTTATTGAGGGCCAAAACGCGATGAAAAACATTCTTCAAGCCATAGAACGCGCACCTTTCAAGCAATGCCAAGGACGGGCGGGACTGGAGCTTAGAACAGTTGAAGGTCACATAGCCTTCAAAAGTGTCAGCTTCTCATATCCATCCAGGCCCACGCAGCTCGCGCTTGAAGTCCTCACGCTAGATATTCCGGCTGGTAAGCGGCTGGAATTCCCTCATCTTCAATCTGCATGAAAAACATTGCAGGTAAGGTTACCGCTCTTGTGGGAAGAAGCGGATCGGGAAAGTCTACAGTCATTGCGCTCCTAGAGCGATTTTATCATCCAACCGCAGGTGAAATCACTCTGGATGGTGTATGCATCAGAAGTCTTGACTTAAACTGGTGGAGGTGCCGGATTGGACTGGTAAGCCAGGAGCCGACGCTGTTATCCTCTTCCATCAGGCAAAACATTCTATATGGAAACGAGAGAGCCAGTATGGCAGACATTATTGCTGCTGCGAAGCTAGCCGATGCACACGACTTCATCCAAAGACTACCTAATGGATACGACACGCAGGTATGTTGTGATCGACATCCACCTAACATGCAAGGCAAGACGTTTTGCAGGTTGGTGAACTGGGTACGCAAATCTCAGGGGGTCAGAAACAGCGTATTGCAATCGCAAGAGCCATCGTGAGGAAACCACGCATCATGCTGCTAGACGAAGCTACGAGCGCACTCGACAACGAGTCCGAGAGAGTTGTCCAGGAAGCTCTAGACAACGCATGCAAGGACGTCACAACAGTAACAATCTCGCACAGGCTCAAGTCAATCCAAAATGCACACTACGTCGCTGTCATGGATGGTGGGAAGGTGCTCGAGGCAGGACGACAGCAGCAATTGCTTTCGAGAAGGGATGGGATCTACGCAGGCATAGTAAAAAACGTGAACAGGAGCGATACAGACCTTGGCGTGCTGTATAACGGGTTCGAGCATCTGACATACGGAAAAAACATTTCAGAAGGTACGGAGCAAGAAAAAAAAGCCGCACCTTCAAGCGTCAAAGGCACTCCTCCAGCACAAAAACAAGGGTGCTCGACTTTCCTGCAGATACTCAGTTTGAATAGCCCAGAGTGGAAACATGGATGCATGATAGTAGTCAGTGCGACACTGACCGGATTCATTACTCCAGCGAATGGCGTACTAAATGGAGTCACAGTTGCAGCCTTCTACAGCCAAACCTCCCAGGAGCTGAAGCACACAGTGAGATTCGCATGCGGATTATATATCTTGGCCTCTGTGGCACTTTTCATCGCAAACTTCAACCTGCATTACCGAGCTGGAGTCACTGGAGCAGCACTAACGATGAGAATACGACGTGCAATGCTAGCTAAGATATTTCAGCAGGAGGTGGGATGGTTTGAGAAGGATGGAAACTCAAGCGGACAAATCTACAACCGCCTAGGAAATGATGCGAAAACCGTGAGTGGCTGACTGACCTGCTTGCTTTGCAACTTCTCTCACTGTTGTCCTGGTTGACAGGTCGGAGAACTCTTTTGGGACCGTGGCCAGTCGCTGGTACAGGTGATCACAACAGTTGTCTTTTGCATGAGCTTGAGCTTTTGCCTGTCGTGGAAGCTAGCAGTTGTCGCTTCAATCCCTCAACTTCTGATCGCCGGTGCTTTCTACGCCAGAAGCAGGAGCCTCATCGGACTTATGCGTCAGATTGCTGCAGAGCACAAGAGAGTTAGTGATCTAGCCAATGATGCGGCCTCACAACAGAAAACAATCACGGCCTACTGCTTGCAAGACACGGTTTTAAAAGAAATCAAGGCCACCTCAGCGAGAACTCTGGCTGCATCTCAAGTTGCAGGGTTTCTCTACGGCTTCTGCTTCTTTGCACTCTACAACTTCTATGCCCTCTGCATCTGGTATGGAGGAACACTACTGGTAGCAAGAAGAATAACCTTCCAGAATTTTGTGATCTGCTACAGCGCTCTGGTGTCCGCCGGGCGAGCACTAGCAGAGACCGCAGGAGCAACTCCAGCAGTGGCTCATGGCTTGACAGCAAAAGCATCGGTCCTCGAGATACTCAACAAGAAAACAGCAGTTTCCGACGTAGAAATGTCTGGAAACGAAGACAACATGCGAGGCGAGGTGGAGTTTCGCGACGTCAGCTTTACGTATCCCTCGAGCATGGAAATACTGGTGTTAAAGAACTTCAGCATTAAAGTGGACGCAGGCCAGACTGCAGCATTGGTTGGAAGGAGCGGGACGGGAAAATCGACAGTCATAGCTCTGCTGGAGAGATTCTACGAACCAACAGCAGGCACAATTCTCCTAGACGGCAAAGACATGAGGAGCATCCACGTTCACACGCTCAGGAAACAAATGGCACTGGTAAACCAGGAGCCAGCTTTGTTCGCGATGAGCATCAGAGACAACATAGCGTATGGCCTAGACAACGCGACGGACGCGGAGATCATCGAAGCAGCAAGCGTAGCAAACGCACACACATTCATCAGGTACCAAAGAACTCTCCAAGAAAACTCTCTAAAGATGGATGCATGGCAGTGCTCTCCCGGAGGGATACGAAACAAATGCCGGCGAAGGAGGCGTCCTTCTCTCCGGAGGACAAAAGCAACGCATAGCAATCGCTCGAGCAGTGATGAAAAAGCCAGCGATTCTTCTCCTGGACGAAGCAACAAGCGCTCTCGACGGTGAGTCCGAGCGCACCGTCCAGCAAGCCCTGGACAAGATCGTGCACGGCAGCACGGCAAAGACGACGATCATCGTCGTCGCTCACAGGCTCTCGACGATCCAACACGCAGATCTCATCGCAGTGATGGAGAATGGCGGGGTTTCGGAACAGGGCAAGCATCAAGAGCTCCTGGCCAAGAATGGCCGATATTTCGCTCTGATCCACTCTCAGCTCTAGCAATCGAGGAGACGATCGATCCAAACGTACCTAGACATGCTAGCGCCTTGCCGCCTTGCCGCATTGCCGCCATAAACCCTAAGTAGCTACATTGTGATAGAGATTGATACATATCATCGTTACTCGTTAGGGAGCTATATACTTCTTCCATTCTATCGAGCGTGAGGCTTCCAGCACGAAGACATCTCTTTGACATGCGACGAGTAGGGGTCCTCGGGACCATTTGGAACGTCTCGATCGGGCTTGGCGACCACCGCCGGAGGATCATTCGATGATGGAGCGGTCTGGAAGTCTCTCCCGCCGCAGCCGCTCGTCCTGTGCTTCATCCGGTACTGCTCCGGATCGTCAGGGCCGGATGGAGCCTCTCTTTCGGGATTGGAAACCAGCTTCCTCGACTGGATTGGTCCTGCACCAAGAGAGAACAGCCACACTCGTTAGTATCTCGGATCATCTCGAGAAAAAATCGAATTTTTTTCTTCTTTTTTTGCTCTGGAACGAACGAACCTCCTCCAACGCAGCGAGTCATGAGTGGAAAAAGCAGGAGGAGGATGATAGCCACAACACGGTGGCTGCTTTTGGCGGATGGAGTCATGGCTTTGGCAGTGATGATGGCCAAAGAAACAGCACAGGAGCTAGCTTAATGATTCGAAGCACAGCACAAGTTACACAGAGCAAAGCATCATTCACACCTCCAAGCACAGCGTCACAGAAAAAAAAAGGAAAAAAGAATCACAGAAAATGGAGGAGCAGAATCATACAACTCTACACTTAAAAACCACTCAACTCTCGTCCAACGATCGACAAAGATCTCTCTAGAACACAAGCAGACCTCAACAAAACGGCCGTTTGCCACTCCCACTCCACAAAGATCCCGCAAGAACACGCCGTATAAATACCCGAGCGACGATGAGACCTTTGCTCGAGGTACTAATCCGTGCTTGGTTTCTTCGTTTCTTCCTCTTTCGTGTCTTGTCTTGTCCATCTTTTTAACACACACTTACACACACACAGCGCACAAAGCCTTTTGTTTCCAATTCCAACACGGCCAGACAGACACACACAGAAAGATGGAACACAGCTTTTGCATTCATTCCTGATTTGAGAGCTCTCTCGTTTAACGCATGAGGGATGGATTTAACGGAACGAATTGGGCAATCAAAGCACAGAATCGTTGGAAGAATAGAAGGAGTCACAGACAAAATGGTGGCGGTGGTGGCGGTGGCGGCGGTGGTGGTGGCGGTGGCGGTGGCGAAGTTTTGGTGGTGGCGAGCAACGTAGCAGCTTTCCAGGCAGACAAAACTTACAGGAAAGAAAAGCTCGCTCCTGCAGAGGAGACAAGCCTCCACAGATTCCAAATGATTCCTGCCCGGAGCTTGCGAGCCTGCTTGGCTTGGATACAAAAAATCCCACTCGCATCCCACTATAACAAAAAAAAGCCAGTAACGATCAAAGAAGAACATTTCATGGCTTGTGGAAAGCCTACAAAAGCAAGACAACCAACTTGTTTTTTTCTAATGTTGTGTCGTGTGGCTTCTTTTGGAGAATCAATGTCTCTCGTAGATTCTACTGCGGAAACTCCTTGTTTAATCCCCGCAATGTTTTTCTGTGAGGCAATGGCATGGAATCTCTGGGGCGAGGAGATCGATGCGTGCTGTCTGTCTGCCTGCCTCTCTGTGTCGAGTTGCTTGCATTATGCTCGAGATCCATGGCGTTGCTCGCCGTGAATTCTTGCGAAGAACAAACCTTTGCTCCCGGACTTGTTGATGGGTGTTTGTATGATTCTCGTGGAAACACTACTAAACAATGGGGAATTTGAAAGCACAATCCAAGGATTCCCTATGATTGAGCTCACGTTCCACCCGTCTTTATCACTTGGACTGTTCAACAGCCAAAGTTTCTTCCATATTCCAAAGTTCTCTTCCATCTTTCTTGTCGATTTTTGGTACTCTAGAACTACCAACAATGTCGTGACATAAGCTGGTGCTATATTATAATTTTTCAAAAGTCATTATATACATATTTCAGAAGTTCCAAAATTGAATTTTTTTTCCCTTTTTTTCTTTCGAATCTTCTTTTGCCTGGCATATTCCCAAAATGTAAAGGACGAGAAAAAAACGGAGAATGAAGCTCGTTTTTTTTTTTCAGTTCAAATCGGGAATGAGCATGGATGGAGGCGTCGATCTGTGATGTAAAGGATCAGGGCCCCCAGGAACATATCGATCCGGGTGGTCGATTTGATGAACTTCGCGAACTTCACTGGATCGATTCACATTCACAAGTTTGCGATCATCACCCCCGTGGTGATTCTCAATTGCTACTGTTGCTGCTGCTGCTGCTGCTGCTGCTTGGTACTCGAGCATCTTTCTTCCCACGAGCTGATTGCTCTCCGGGTGATCCCTGCGTGGTCGCGGTGGGATCCTCTGGCAAGAAGAACTCGTTAGAGTCTCGAAGAGAAGGAAGAAAACTTTCAAATGCTTTCACAAACCTGCTGGTGGCGGAATCGCGTCCGGAAATTTGGCACATTTCTTGGGAAAGAAACGCAGCCGGGACAGGGGCGTGTCACCGCCAGCAGCTTCCTAGCCGAGATTCCCCGAGAATCGAAATCTAGAAATCACCAAAAACCAATCAATCAAGAACGAGATGACCCAAAAGAGCACACCTGTAGTCACCGAGAGGTAGAAACAACACACGAAAGCCATCAAGAACAGAGCGCTGTGGATCATCGCAGCGCGCGACATGGACGATCGATCCAGAAAAACCAGAAGAGGAAAAGGAATGATCGATCAAGAAAAACAGAGAAGCTCCAGTACTTTTGAGTCAGTCTTGGCCAGTCCACTCTCCCTTCTTCTTCTTCAACTTAACAAACATGACCAAATCTATGGAGCAATCTAACAGGCTTTATAGTAAAACACTGGAATTTGGGAACTCGTGACGAATACAGGGAAATAATTAAAATAAATACCCCAACTAATTCACTTTAAAAGCCTTTTTTTTTCCTTTAAACTGAATGTAAGATTAGGAAGGAACTGATTACCGACCGATATAGTTGGTCTAGATTAGTTCGAGTCCTATCAACCACACGCTCCAATCCATCATTCCAAGGGTTTTTAGTATTTCCAATTGCAGGGTGGCGGCAACTTAAGAGCCCTAAATCGGTGCATGCATGGTGGCGGTGACGAGACATTCCCTCATTTGGGGTGTGCGTGCCACCAGAGTTGATTTCCAAATGTGGCAACCCCCGGGTGCATCATTTGTACACTCCATGGTACATGGAGTATTTTTACTATGTCCAAGGTTCACACATTCCAGGCTTTAATAGCTTGGGTGCTAATATGATGGCCGCGAATATGTGTCCGGCCGTAAAGGAATAATTTCCATATCCGAAAATATCAATCCTATTACGCCTCATCATTCCCGTCCCTGGAATAATCACCCTTGATCACGGGAAGAAGAATCGGAGAATTTCTCGTTAGTCTTGCTCTGATACAAAGCTGCCAAGGCATAAAAGAATCCAATCAATCAGTTCTCTCAGAGAAAAGCTCTCGAGTCTCTCTCGCGCGCACAAATACGTACCTGTCGATTCTTTGGAACGGTGAAAACTTATCTGATAGTTGTTCTTTATTGAGTAGCGTTCTTGAACAAAAGTACTTCACTCTATTGTCCGGTGAGTTGCCCTGTGACGTAAGCATGATCAACTCTAAAGCACGAATCTTTCCATAAAGAAGGGATATAAATCATCACAGATGTGTGTGTGAGAGAGAGAGAGAGAGAGAGAGAGATTTCTGTGTGCTCGCCCAACAGCTAAGGATGGATTATTATCAATACTTACAGTTTCTGGAACACGATACTGGTTAGGAAACCTTGTTTGGCGTCTAATCTCTTTGATCGCTTCCCGGACAGGAATGTGATCTCCTGGACGACGATGCTCGCAGCGTATGCCATATTGACAAAGCTCGCGAGATCTTCAGTCGAATGCCGGGTCACTCACGGAACTCCATGCTGTCGGCTTACGGAAAGCCAAGTCTAGATCGCAGGCGCTTTTGGGTTGGATGCACGGGACGTGATCTGAGATCGGCCATGGAGCTCTATCGCTTGATGCCGGCATATGATCTTGCGCCGTGGACTGCAATGCTCTCATGACGTGCTCTTGCCGGGGAATGCGATGCTGTCTGCCTAATCTTCGCCACTTGAACGGGTCCATTCCATGCCAGAAACATTGTTTCCTGGGGGGCGATGATTGAAAGCCATGAAATTTTTTTTAAGATTCAATGCGAGATTCTATGGCGTGGCCTCCAATGCTTACAGCATATGCCCGGTTTGGGCATCTTCAAGTGGCAAAGATCATTTTTGATGTTTTGCATGAGAAGGGACGCAATGCAATGCTGGAAGCGTACTCAAATAACGAACGTGTTGGCGAGGCCGAGGAATTATTTTTTGTGGGTTTGCTCGTACACACCTTTCTTGGTTGCAGCATATGCCCGATATGGGTACGATGCCGCAGCGAGATGTTCGATGCTTGCTCGTAACGGCTACCATAAACTCTAGGAGATAATGCAGCAGCCTGTTGAGTCGAGCTTTGCTTCCGTGCCGAATGCTTGCAGCCACGCCAGGAATGTAGAGGGTGGCATGACTCTGGATTACGGATTTATCCCCACGAACCAGCAGTATGGATGCATGATCGATCTCCTGGGACGGCCTACGTTGGAGGTACCAAGAATGCTTTCGTTCCGGGTGGGAGTGATCCTGGCCTCGTGTTGCTTCCTTTGCGATCGCCCCGGGGAGTTCACCATATTCCCTGTTTGCAAACGCGTTCTCGATCACATAGACGAATCCCTCGATTTTGTGTTATTTGAGCACGCACTGAAGCGTCCTCCACGACACGACGTGTATATATAAGTGTGTATTTATATGGTTGTAACATCTATATAGTCTGCCTTTCCTTTGTTTACAGCATCAATCGTTGACCTTGTTATATAGCTGTATGTACTAAGGCAAGCTCAATATTGAGAGGAATACAGCTTCTGCCAACTCCAGGAGACTTTCAAATGTGGCAGAACTCCCTTTTGCAAACTTTTTCTGACCGTGAAAAATTCTCTTCCTCTTGTGAGGACGTAATGATTACAGCCTACACTGAAGGTGGAGCATGGATAACTTTCATCTATGGAATCAGAATCCAAATATCCCACAGAGTCGGTATCTGCATCTGAATATTCTAGAAAATGGAATCGGCTGCCATATTCGTCAAGGAAGAACGATATATATCAATCTCTAGGCCTAGACTCCATCACAATGTTATTTAGGATTTATGGCGGCACTGCGGCAAGGCGCTAGCAACCCTAGTTACGTTTTCCTCCTCGATTGCTAGAGCTGAGAGTGGATCGGAGCGAAGTATCAGCCATTGGGCAGTAGCTCTTGTGACTGCGATGAGATCTCCGGCCGGATCGTCAACAACGATTGTCGTCCAGGGCTTGCGAGACGGCGGACTCGGACTCACCATCGAGAGCTTGTTGAGAAGAATCGTGGCTTTTTTTATCACTGCTCAAGAGCTTGCTTTTATCCTCTCGAGAGAAGGATGGCCCCCTTCGCCAGCATTTGTTTCGTATCCCTCTGGTAAAGCACTGCCATGCATCCTTCTTTCTTTGTTACCTGATAAATGTGCGTTTGCCTTGTCTTCCATACGATCTCTCATGCTCATCGCAAACAAAGCTGGTTCCTGGTTTACCAGTGCCATTTGTTTCCTGAGCGCATTTCCATGCTCGAGAGATACGCAAAGCTGACGTTGCAAAACTCCACCTCTCCTCACATGTCTTCGTTTCCAGACATTTCTATGTCTAAAACTGCAGTTTTCTTCTTGAGTATCTTGAGGACCGATGCTTTTGCTGTCAAGCCATGAGCCACTGCTGGAGTTGCTGCTGTGGTCAGTGCTCACTCCACAGACACCAGAACGCTGTAGCAGATAAAAAAAATGCTAAAAGGTTATTCTTTTTGCTACCCATAGAAGTTCTAGAGTGCAAAGATGTAGGCTCCCTTGATTTTTTATAATATGTTTTATAATTATTTATATATAAATATATATACTATTATTATTATTGGATTTATTTTAATCCAAACCACACTCCTATAGGAGATGGAATGGTTAATGCTTCAAATCCAAATATGAGTGGCATTATCTACTTAGATACTTTGTATCACTTATTGAAAATTCACTCTAATTATGTGGCTAAGGTACTTTAGTGATGGAAGGTCGTGAGACTTGTGTTGGTTGCTGTGTTTTGAAATGTGATCCTAAAATCCCTAATAGTGGAAAAATAAGGAATAGTCCATTTACTTAGTAATGCGTATGGTGATAGTGGAAAGAAAAAAAATGGTCCTTTTACTTGGTAATAAGTATTGGTGATTAGTAGGATTTAGTGGATGGGCCTTTAAGCCCTAACTCAATATGAACACTATTGTGAATAAAGAAAGACTTGGGTAGGGATTGAAGAAGAAGTATTAGAGGATAGTGTTCCCCTATATCTTAAGATATCCTAAGAGTGGTTATAAAATGACCACCCCTAGAATGGATGGTTTGGTTCTAGAGAGACAAATTTGTTGTATAGGTGGTTTTATACTACTAATGAGATAATGAAAATAAATAAAGCTTTAGCATAAAAGGTTGGGATATTAGTAATACCTTTGGGTGTTTGCAATTGGATTTTGACACATAAAGCACTTCGACCAAGTGCAAAGGTAGTGTGGCCTTTGGGGACTTAGCAAGTACCTTAAGATAAAATGAGAACTTATGAAGGTTGTAAGTGAAACTCCTCTAAATAGATGAAAATGTAGTTAAGTGACCAAGGTAAAATGAAAATTTAATCACTTACATAATGTTGATATTCTTTCTTAAGCTCTTCTTTTTTTTTTTGCTCTCTTCTTTTGTTCCTAAAGAGCCTATTGTTTCACCATTAGTAGATTTTTTGGATGAGGATTTTATACCATTAATGATTACCATATTTGATGTTCAATAAAATAAAATGTAAAGTTGGATTTATCTTCTTTAAATGAATGAGCTATAAATCAAAAACTTCTTGATGAGTTTAACAAATTTGCATCACTTTTTAATAATTTGTCATTTTGGCATTTACATTCTTAATATCTCCTTAAGAATGACTTTTTTTTTAGTTTATATGAAGATTGATTCTAATGATCATTTACAACTAGTAGTGCTTTCAATCTTTATTCCACACTTCTTCCATATTTACTATAACTCTTATTTTAAGTAGGTATATAAGATATTGTCATGTGATTGAAAAGTTATGCAAGTTTTTCTATTGGCTAAAAATATAACATGATATCATTTAATATATGTATAGGTACATTTAGTGCCAAGCTTGTAAAAATTTCCTTTATGTTGCGGAAGAATAATAGAAGTCAATTGTAGTTTCCCATTTATTTAAGATGGTGGGGTTTGATCTTTTCAATAGTTGACTTTTAACAATGAGTATGCCATTATTATTTTTAACTAATTGATTTATTAAATGGAAGTCAATAGTTTTACTAATGTGTTTGTGAATGCTATAAGATATTTCTTCCTCAATTGAGTGGTGTTTCAACATTCTTTTCTTGTAGCATATATAATTTTCACCCTTTACTCTATGATGTTTTACCATAGGATAAACACAGAGTGAAAGCTTGAACACGTAAGCCAAAGGCAGCAGACCAAAGCATGGAATGACTTTTGAGTGTATAATCTAAGGAGCTAAAAGATAGAAGTATGAAGTAACTTTGGAACAATTCGAGAGTATCTAGCATCCCATTGTTAGAACCAACATGTAAAATAGAGCGAAATGGAGTCTGACACCATTTTAACAT